TCCGGCCGCGGCACAGGCAAATGAGGCAGCGCAGCAGCAGGCAGCAACAGAGGAGGCAGCGGCAACAGTGCTGAACCGTATCCCCAACGCAGCAGGGGCAACGTGGGAGCAGCTGAAGGAGTTCATGACGGTTGTTGATGCCGACATCAGCACTGGCAATGTGGGAGAGTGGAAGGGACATGATGGCTTGCCTGCGACACGCATCATCAACCGGTGCGGCTCTTGGAAGCTGCAGCAGCAGCTCACGCAAGCCCAGCAGAAGGAAATTGTTCAGTTTGAAACTAGGTGCCGCATGAACTTCTTTTAGTGTTTGCCAGTTGGATTGGTTGGTCTGTCTCAAATTTGACCATGGGGTATTAGCAATGTGACCTACATGCACTCAAAGGGAGCAAATGACTGGCTGTAGGGCAAGCTGCCTGTGACTGGCTGTGCAGGCCTGCAGGAACAGACTGGCTGTGCAAGCCTGCAGCGGCAGACTGCCTGTGACTGGCTGTGCAGGCCTGCAGCGGCAGACACTCCTGTGTGACTGGCTGTGACTGGGCAATTGCATATATGTTTGATTAAAAAAATCACAAGTGTTTGGCACGCAAGTTATTGACCTCCACCAGAATCAACTGAAGGCGCAGCAACTCGGCACGCAATGCAGCTGTTTTGCCCGCAATCAACTATGCGGGCCAAGCGTGGGTTGCGTTGCACCGATCTGCACCGATGACATCATCACCGCCTGCTGGCTGCAACTCTGCTAGGTTTGCCTCGATCAAGGCGGTGCGCTCCTCCAGTCCATTGCATAGGCGCAGGACCTCACAGTGTAGAATGCCGACTTCCTCGGCGCTGCGGTCACGTTGCGCGCACAGCTGACGGTACCGCTGGCCAAAGTGCCGGGTTGCTGAGCTGCTGCTAGCACCAACGCCCTCCACCCACCTGTATTGCCCTGCAATAAAGGGCAGCAATGTGTGGGTCACATCATGCAGGCGCCCCAGCTGCCCAGAAGGGCAACCCGCCAGGACATATCACCCTCACCCTGCCCCGGCCTGCCACCTCCAACACCACGCCTCTACGCTGCCATAGCAGAAC